TTTATGTGTTCTTTTTACAAATTTTTTACAATTTTTTCAAAATTTTTTACAGATTTGTTACAAATTTTTTTACAAATTTTTTAGAAATCAAATTTTTCTACAGATTTTTTACAAATTTTTTTTTTACAGATTTGTTACAAATTTTTTAACAATTTTGTTACAGATTTTTTTACAGATTTGTTACAAATTTTTTTACATATTTTTTTACAATTTTGTTACAAATTTTTTTACAAATTTTTTGTGAGGTTTGAATTTTGTTTAATTGTATGTTTGATAAAATTCATAAGTATTATTTTTAACAAATTAATCATAGTTGTGTAAAAAAAAATTGATTCCCCCGTTTTGAACCAAACACGAATAAAGGGAATTCTATTCCCTTTCCTATACTGAACCAAACAGATGGAGTAATTCAAGGGTAATCATTCCCATTCCCACTGATTCCCTTTCCTGCTTCCTTTCCCTTTCCTCAGCATGAACCAAACGCCCCCTAAGTGTTTATGCCAATTAGGCATCCATGTAGGATGGTTACCGACTGAGTGTTTGCAAACAGGCTAAAAGACTTTTCGTGAAAAGAATCGGTAAGTTGGTGTACTTTTTTGAGAGAAAACAAAGTTCGTATCCCAAAGTGAAATAAACCTCAAAGTTAATGTACAGTTTGTGAAATTTACCTTGTTAGTTTATGTGTCTAGGCCTTAGAAGGGGTGAATAAAACGTTTAAAAACTTTTTTGAAGTTTAATAAAATTGGTGTTCGCGAATGCAGTAGGAATGAAAATAACACAGAATTAAAAAGCGCAAGGGAAAAACATACGGAGTACTAATTTAGACTGGTTCGGGACTCGCTATTCCAGTACCTTAATGCTCTCCCTTAAGGATTTCAAAATTCAGAGTCTCAGTCTCTTGAACTCCATCAAAGCACCGTACTAGTTTGACAAACTATCCTTGCCAATAGGATTCAACCTCGAAATTTTACAACATCTATCTCGAACCGCTTACAATGAAGATTTTACGACTATCTTTAACTGTTTCCTCCAAAGAATTTAAAGCCTATCCTTGAACCTTTTACCCAATGATTTCTTGGATATCCTTAACCGTCTACACAAGGATTTATACGACTATCTTTGACCGTTACGATTGATAAATAATATAATGTGTCTAAAACACCGGGAAAAAATATTCAACACCTTTTGGCCTATAATTAAAAAAAAAGAGATCAATCCTTGGCCGGTAAAGAACAGAGAATATACTCTCTAATACAAAAACACCTCAATGAATATGAGAGTATATACGTATAACCAGAAGCTCAATGTGTGTGTATAAAATCAGGAGAAAAATAAGGCTCTAAGAATCCAAAATATGAAGATTGAAGAACAAAATAAATTCATTTTTTCCTATTCTATTAAAAAAAGTGTCAGAGATTGTTGCACCTGGTACTTGGAGAGACATTGTTCTTTCTATTTAAAAAATGAAGTACTTCGTACATGTTATTTTTTATTTCATTTTTATTTCAAACACAAAAATATTATTATTTCTTAAGACCATATACAAATAAATTTAAAGAAATAATATAAGCACATTTATGAAAAAAGAGAACCAATAAAGAAAAAAAGAGACTTTGATGCATTTTTCTATCTTGAGAGATGTTAGGGGTACACCAAATGGTGTACTCCAACTGTAAACCATGCTAGGGATACCACACATTTTTATTCATTTCTTTCTTTTTTTTTAACACCAAAAAGTGTAGTATATGTGAATGCTTAGCTTGAGGTACACTTGAGATACAATTTTTGGTGTATTCCAAGCTTTTTTTTCTTTTTAAAATAGTATACATTTACCAAAGAGTAATTTTCTCAATTGGTTTGTTATAACATGATGTTTTTCATACTCCGTGTTTTATATATAAAGATATTACGCACGTATTCCTTCTTTTATGTGTATCTTTCCACAAATAGTCCTTTTTTGATCTTCTGTCATGTTAGTATTAATTTGAGGGTTAAAATGTAATTTGATAATGATCATATATCTTTCTTGTCATACACAAATTCAGAGGCTGCTTCAGATGCGTCATTTGTGAATCGCACTAGGTATTTGCAACACCATAGTCTATAGATTTGGTCTTCTGTCGGCATGTTCACAATCATAATCATTATTATTGTACTGTCTCTCTAAATGACATAAGACTACGTTAGAAAACATAGGATTGATGTCAAATTATATTTTTTTTGTCCTCAAATTTACACCAACACGATAAGAAATCAAAAAATGATTATTTGGAGAAATGTACCAAAAAAGAATGACCATAGACATAATCTTTGATAATAAAACTAAATGTACAAACCAAATATTATAAAAAACCAATTATGTAATTTATTGTTTACCAAATCATACAAATATTGGTGCAATAAACTAATTTCCTCTTTCAAAGATAGGGAGTAATGGAGTATCCTCTGTATGCTTCAGGTCCCACGAAAGCACCATTCCTTTTTTTTTCTTTTTTTTTTTCGAAAAAAAATTCAAATTCAAATTTCACTGAGAACGGATCCGAGGAGGAAAGTGAAGCAGTAGATTAGATACGTTGAAATAAGGGCGTAAATGTAATTACGACTCGCATCATGCCCTTCTTCTCTCTCGCCCAATATAAAAAAACATCCAATTCTTTCTCTCTTTCTTCCCCCCAATCTCTGAATCCGCTGTTTCTTGCCGTTGTACAGTGATCCACTGCAGGTCCGTCTCATATTTCTGCACTTCTCATATTACAATGAATTACCCATTATGTGTTTTTCAACTCTGTAATCGAAAGCTGGTTTTGTTATTTTTTTAATTTTGTTTACCTTCATTCTTGAAAATATTATTATATAAATTGGAATATAATAATATTATTATTATTATGTAATTCTTTTATTTCTTACTGATCTACCGACTCTTGATTGCCTAATGAGATTGCTGAGTTGTGTGCTTCTGGGTATTTGGGAAATGCATAAAAATTTCACTTTTTTTACACAAGAAAATGAAGATCTTTTGAAGCTTTGTTTTGATTTATATCCGATGAATGGATTCTGCGGATGGATGGGGTTTGGATTCCCATTTCAATAGGATCTTCAATGGTTATCTGATTAGATGTATTCTTTTATGTCAAGATTCATTTTTTAGCTTGTCAAACTGTAACAATGGCGAAGACATGGCCTGAGGGCTGTGGAGATCGCCATGTGGAATGTAAAGAATGGATTTTTAGCGGATTGGTCATTTTCAATCCCGCCCCTATTAATTACACTGTTTTGTTCCCTAATCCCTTTGTATTGAATGTGGGGTTTTTGGAAGAGAAGTGAAAGTGAGGAATTATAGAGAAATACACAATATAACTAAGAACATACTTTGTATTTTTCTTGATGGATGACACTACAAAATATCTACTCCGTATAAATTAGTAAAAATCAATTTGAAACCAAACAAGGCTTAAAATTCCACTCTTTTTTATTCTATGGTGGGATTACACTGCTTCTTGTATTGTGATTTTCATCTTTGATCCATGGATTTTTCTTCATAGCTCTGATGGTTTTATGGTTGATCGGATTACTTGCAGAGCATGTGGTTGTTTTTATGTCATGCCGTTTTGCTACTTATCCTTGCTACTTTTATGACAAGTGCATTTTATTCTCTTTTGTGCATAGACTTTGATTTTCTGGAGCACAAAAGTACTAGTAGGGCGTTGGCATTGCACAAAAGTTAAACATTTGTGCTTTAGAGGCGGAGAGGATCAAATATTACGAGTTTGGCTATGGTAATTTATGAACTATTCATGAATTTAACAAACCGTTTGCATTGTTATTTCATTTGCTGACTAACTTATAAACCATTGTTACTTCTTGTGGTTCGTTCACTCAGGCAACGAACGAAAATCTCCCACCAAATGTGATCAAACAGCTGGCCAGGGAATTGAAGAATCTTGATGAAACTCCACCAGAAGGCATTAAAGTTAAAGTAAATGATGATGATTTTACCACTATTTTTGCTGATATTGAAGGACCAGGTAACTATCATTTATCTGCTCTTCTTCATATTATCATTCTTTTTGAGTGTTTGTTTTTTTCTCTCTCTGAAATTTCTTACACTTTTCAGCTGGAACTCCGTACGAGAATGGTGTCTTTCGCATGAAGTTGATACTGTCCAATGATTTCCCGCACTCGCCTCCCAAAGGTTGTCTTCAAATTCATTACACTTAAAACATAATAAAATATTCCATAGTACTCCCTAGTAAATGCTAATATTTTTATGTTGTTCTGTTATTGTTTGCTTTTATCTGAGATTTTTGTTTAATGCGACTACTTTTTTGGTCTGTCTTAGGATTCTTCCTCACCAAAATTTTTCATCCAAACATTGCTGCTAGCGGTGAGATATGTGTGAATGCTCTAAAAAGGGATTGGACTCCAAATCTGGGCTTAAGACATGTGCTAATGGTGAATTCTCTAGTCTATATGTCAAAGTTCATTCTTGTTTTTCATTTTAAGTATGGCTAAAAAAAAGAAAGGGGCTTTCTCTGCTTTTCCTCGCCAAAACAGAAGGAAAATCATTTTCCTTCTTTTTCCATTTCTTCTCTCATTTTCTTTTCCTTGGCCACTTATCTTTTCTTTTCCCCTCTAACTTAACAAAAAAAGTTGTTTTCTCACTCATTTTCTTGTGTTTTCAGTTCCAAATTTCTGGAACCAAACATATTGTAAGAGTTTCACGTTGGTTTGTATTCACACTATGTTTGCACTACTATGTTTTCATTGATAGGTGGTCAGGTGTTTATTGATAGAACCATTTCCAGAATCGGCTTTAAATGAACAGGCCGGGAAGATGCTTCTAGATGATTACGAGGAGTACGCGAAACATGCAAGGTTAGCTGGGGCTTTTCTTTTTTGAACCTATCATACCATTTTTATCCATCTAAATCTATGAAAATGCATTCCACAAGTGTGAATAATGTTCTTCCACAACTAAAAATGACATTGGGGTTTCAAGACAGTTTCTGGGCTTGTAATGGATGCGATGCGATCCTCCTATTTTCTTGGATTCTTGTATTTACAGGCTCTTTACCGGGATCCACGCGGTGAAGCCAAAGCCGAAACAAAAATGTGGGGCCATTACAGAATCAACCACTGCACTGAACATTGAAGAACAACATCAAAAGACCAACTCCTCCTCCTCAACCTCATCATCATCCTCCTCATCTTGTCTTGATGCCAAAAAGGGTCCGGTTCCAAGTGGTCCCCTCCAAAAACCGTCTTCGCTTGCCCCATTGTCGAAAGGAGGGAACAGCATGGACCCACCACCACCAGCCGCAGCGGCTTCCCAGAAGAAGGAGGCTGTTGGGGTGGGAAAGGTGAACCAGGTGGAGAAGAAGAAGATGGATGCCCGGAAGAAGAGTTTGAAGAGATTATAGAGGGGGAGAAAACCACCCCAAAGTTGAATAACAGTTTGCTTGCTTCCTCTTTTATTTGTTGAACTCAGAAACATGTTTTGTTGTACTATTATTTGTTATCCACTTTGATGTTCTTGGCACCCTTATTCAATCCCATTCAATGTTAATCTTTGTTCAGATGAAATCATGCGTGGTGTCTTAGACACAATGGTGTCTAAACGGTAGCGTTTAGACCTAACGTTTTCAAAGTTAAGCTTTATTATTAAAAAATATTCAAAATGCTAGTGGTAATTGAAAATGATGTTCTCAAACAAAGCCTTAGAACTTGTTCTTTTCAACATATTCTTATTAGAATCAAATCAAAAATAATTTTAAATATAATTACAATCAAATTAGATTATCTTTAATAAAATTAGATTAGATCTAATCAGGCCAAACAAAGAGAACAAACTCGAAGTGTGGAGGCTGTTTTTTAGATAGATAGTGGGGAGTACTTGTGGGTGAGAAATTATTGTCTTGAGGTTTTTCAATGGCTGAACTGTCTTTAAGAATCCGTTTGTTATACGGAATTAAAATTGAATTAAAAATTGAAATTCTATGGAATGAAATTGAACTTTGCAATTCTAATTCATTTTGGCACTATCAATGCCAAATTCACATACTTTTGTCCTACCAAAGAGCAAAATTAAAATTGTTGTTTCCAGTTCTAATTCCATAGTTTGAATCGTGTACCAAACGAAGTGAGCCTAAGATAATATTGGTGTTAATCTTGATGTTATTGAAGCGTGATCTAACATTTTATCGAATACAAATAAAAGAGTACCAACTATTGTGTTATTTTTATGAGCACATTTTGTTGGCACTAGATTTCAGTGTCAACGGATGATACTCGCCCATTTTAGGACATTTTCGGTACTCCGTTTGTAAAATTGATGATTCTTACCCCCCCAAACCCTCTACCCAATCCCACTCCTGCCCCCTTTAAGCCCTCCCTCCAAATGTGTGGCTATTATGCATAATAGCCACACATTTGGAAGAAGGCTTAGGGGGTAGGGGTGAGGCTGAGATACGGGAATTTAGGTGGTGATTAGGGTGGGTAGGAACCATCATTTTTATTATTTTGGTAAAAAATATAGCGTATAAGGCTACATTTTCTTTAAACCAAATCAGCACTTTCATTTATTTTATACATGGCAATAGCACAAAACTAAATTAACTTTATTATTATTATTACGTTTATTATTATGATTATTATTAGTATATGGTACCATATTATTATTCGTATATATATATATATATATGTGTGTGTGTGTGTGTATGTATGTGTGTGTGTGTGTATATATATATACGCATATACATACATACATACATATACATACATACATACATACATACATACATACATACATACATACATACATACATATATATATATATATATATATATAGTGTTTGGTGTCTCCCTAAAAAAAAAGTTTGGTGTCCATATTTTTTTAATACGTTAACGGTTAACATTAATTACTTTGTATATATGTATACGATTGGAGTATGTTCCAAAAAATCCGTTTCTAGATAGGAGTAATTATATTCAATGCACATGGAAGGGGACTTAAGTTGGCTAAAATTAAATAAAATTTATTGACTCTTCCTTCAAATTCTTATTGATATTAACTAGGGATTAAACTAATAACTGACTACCAAAAACTACTAGGAGGTACAGTATAAGATAACTTCATGAATTCTTAAGTAAACCTTAAGACCACCAAAGAATTTACCCATTGCAAAACGAGAAAACAGAACAATCTAGCAGTAGTTTTTCCCAAAATCAAGCATGCATAAAAGATGAATGCAGCATGTAACCTCAATTTAAAACGCAAAAATGGCATTCAACTGTTACACATATAATATTGAAGGAGATAGTAGATACACACCTGATAAAATTTAACTACCCTTACAATAGAGAGAAGAACCATTCAACATCCAATGTGAAACCATACAAATTAAAAAAGGATTATAAGACCTGGGAGAACCATTTAGCTCAATACATCAAAAATCAATACTTTTTTTGTCAAGTTTGGGTGTGTAACCACAAGACAACATATTTAAAAATTTATAAATTTTGGTGGTGGGGTGGGGGGGGGATGAAATCACTTGGCCATCATGACCTTGACAAACTCCTCGTAGTTGATTTGGCCATCGCCATCAACATCGGCCTCCCTTATCATCTCATCAACTTCTTCGTCGGTGAGCTTCTCGCCGAGGTTTGTCATCACATGGCGAAGCTCGGCAGCAGAGATGAAGCCATTCTGGTCCTTGTCGAACACTCTAAAAGCCTCTTTCAGCTCCTCTTCAGAATCGGTGTCCTTCATCTTCCTAGCCATCAGAT